GAATCAGAGAGGTGAGTTGTGGTAGGGAGCACTGGGTGGGTCTAGCTGTCAGTGGGACAGGTGAGCAGGACCTGGGGTTGAATTTTCCTGCTCTTACTGAGTAGAGCTAAGTAGGGGCTCCTGCCAAGGGAGATGAGGGCCCCTGTCCATGCCTCCTCTCAGCAACCTCACCTCAGAGCTCACTGATGGCCTCTGCTGTGCCCTCAGCCTGCCACATCTTGGAGTGTCCTGAAGGGCTTGCCCAGGACGTCATTAGCACCATTGGCCAGGCTTTCGAGTTGCGCTTCAAACAATACCTCAGGAACCCACCCAAACTGGTCACCCCCCATGACAGGTGAGCAGGTTGGGGGTGTGGGCAGCTCTTGGGCCCCAGACTGGGATTGGGAAAGTGGGGCTGGTCTTCCCACACTTGAGCTTAGAGAGGTTCAGGGAAGGAAATAACCTGTGTGCCCCTGCTTCCCACTTCCTGCTATTCTTACGTTTCCTGTGGCCCATCAGAAAGTCTTCTGAGGCCCTGCCTGCTATAGGGCCAGCTCTTCCTCTTGTTTGCCTGTGGTGGAGCTCTATTCCAGGACTTCCAAGTTGCATCTTTTTCTCTGGCTAGATGGGATTTTCTGTTCTCAGACTCCTCTGTTTCTGGCCTGTCCCTCTTTCTTGTGCATTTCTCCACTTGTCTTTCTGTGTTTTCCTACCTCTAGAAGCCACCAAGAATTTGGATTAGGGCTGGGTGTGGTGGCTCATGCCTATAATCCCACCCAGCTATTTGGGAGGCTGAGGCAGGAGGACAGCTTGAGCCTAGGAGTTCCAGACCAGCCTGGGCAACATAGTGACACCTCTGGCACCAAAAAAAAGAAAGAGAGAGAGAGAGAGAGAGAGAGAGAGAGAAAATTTAGCTAGGCATGGTGGTGTGTGCCTGTAGTTCTAGCTACTTGGGAAGCTGAGGCAGGTGGATCGCTGGAGCCTGGGAGTTCCATGACTGCACTGCACTACAGCCTCAGTGACAGAGTGAGATCTGTCTCTTTAAAAAAAAGAAAAAAAAAAGGAATTTGGATTAGGGACTTTCCCCTGAGATCACTACCTTTCCCACTTCAGGCCTTGAGGGATCAGCAGTGGGACCAGTAGGGATTATTTAGGAGAGGTTCAAATATTCTGGGGCAGCCCCTCCCTGCTATGTAGTGCTTTCCTTCCCTCTTGGGAGACAGCACAGTGATCAAGGACATGATCTTTAATGTCAAACCCAAATTTAAATCTCAGCTCTACCACCTTTTAGTTGTGAGACCTTGTGCCAATCTTTTTTACCTCTGATCCTCATTTTCCTCATCTATAAATTGAGGAAGGAAATAATACCTACCTTACAGGGTTACCAAGAGAATGAAATGATTATGTATGTAAAAAAACATCCAGCCTCAGGCCTAGCCCATGGTAAATGCCCAATATGTGGCCACTGTCCTTTTCCCCTCCACCTGTCTTCCCACTCACCACACATTTATACCCATACTTCTCACTCCCTCCTGTTCCTCTCAGGATGGCTGGCTTTGATGGCTCAGCTTGGGATGAGGAGGAGGAAGAGCCACCTGATCATCAGTACTATAATGACTTCCCAGGGAAGGAACCCCCTCTTGGGGGGGTGGTAGACATGAGGCTTCGGGAAGGAGTCACTCCAGGGGCTGCTCGGCCCACTCCTCCCAGTGCCCAGACACCCAGCCACTTGGGCGCCACTCTGGTAAGTCGCTTGGTTGGAGGTGGGCTGAGCCTAGGGTGGAAGTGGCTGGTTAGGGCCTGTGGTCTCACCCTATTTTTATCCCTGCAGCCCGTAGGGCAGCCTGTTGGGGGAGACCCAGAAGTCCGCAAACAGTTGCCGCCTCCACCACCCTGCCCAGGTATGAAGGGAGCTGAGATGGGCAGAGCCAGGCGTGCTGGAGGCAGGGCTGGGGTCACTGTAGAGCCTCCCTTTCTTCAGCAGGCAGAGAGCTCTTTGATGATCCCTCCTATGTCAACGTCCAGAACCTAGACAAGTCCCGGCAAGCAGGGGCTGGGCCCCCCAATCCTGCCATCAATGGCAGTGCACCCCGGGATCTCTTTGACATGAGTGAGTGCTCCTTTCTCCTTTCTGCATCTCCACCTTCCTCCTTGGTTCCTCCTCTTCTCCTGCCCATCTCCTCTTCCCTTCCTGAGGTTCTGGGAACTGGGTGTGTATTGTACCAGCTGCCTCTCCTAACCTTCTCTCTACACCCCTAGAGCCCTTTGAAGATGCCCTTCGGGTGCCTCCACCTTCCCAGTCACTGTCCATGGCTGAGCAACTCCGAGGGGAGCCCTGGTTCCATGGGAAGCTGAGCCGGCGGGAGGCTGAGGCTCTGCTGCAGCTGAATGGGGACTTCCTGGTGCGGGAGAGCACAACCACACCTGGCCAGTATGTGCTCACTGGCTTGCAGAGTGGGCAGCCCAAGCACCTGCTACTGGTGGACCCTGAGGGTGTGGTGAGTGTGGCGGAGGTATGGGAGGGGGTTGGCAGAAAGGAAGGTACAGTACCCTGGAGTGCAGCCCTGTTCCTTCCCTCATTGCTTTCTAGACTTTCTGTGCTGGGCAGCTCACTATGGGCCTTTCTTGCTTTTCAAGGTGCTTGGTGTCCTCCTCCAGCAGATTAGGAGTCCTTCCCTTCTCGTATCCCTGAGCCTGAGCTGTGTTCCTTACAGTCCTGACCATTCCTCAGATCCCCAGGCCTTAAGCCCATCAGAGCTCTACGGTGCTCATCTCACCTGTGCCCCTCTTTTGGCAAATGAGGAAACCGCTCTAGAGAGGTTGTGATGCCAGTATTAGAGACTAGACACCCCAAGTTTCCTCTCCCAAGAGGAACCAGGGGCCTCCCCAGCTTCCTAGACCCAGGGATCAGACCACTGTCCTTTCTCTTATCTGCACTGTCCCACTGCTCCTCAAAACTTTGGTCTTTTTTCTACAGCAATCTTTGCCTCCTTTTCATATCTCTTTGTACTGTGTATATTCCTCTGAGACATGCCAACTTCTTCCAGGTCAGGAAAGGTGTAGCTATCCCTCAGCTTCACTGTTTCTGTCTTTGCCTTTCTCAAATGTCTCCTTTGCCTTTTTTCCAGTTTACTGACTTGCCCATTCCCAAAACTGTCTCTAGCTTCTCTTTGTAGAGAAACCTCAGTGAGCAGGCCTGACAGCCTCTCCCTCCTCCCCCTACCATTTTTCTCCTTCCTTAATCCTCTGGACTGTTCCACCTTCCTCAACCTTGGGGACCGAGGTCGGATTTTTTTTCTTCTTTACTTGTCCTTCAATGGCTGCGAACCAGGTCTTATTTGACTCTTCACTGGAATTGATCCGCTTCCTTCCTACCTTCCCAGGTTCGGACAAAGGATCACCGCTTTGAGAGTGTCAGTCACCTCATCAGCTACCACATGGACAATCACTTGCCCATCATCTCTGCGGGCAGCGAACTGTGTCTACAGCAACCTGTGGAGCGAAAACTGTGATCCATCCCCACGCTCTCTTCCAGAAGATGCTCTCCAGCCCCTTCTACCCTGTTCCCTAACTCTCAGGACCTCATTTGGGAGTGTTCTGTGGGCTTGACCTTGTGTAGGTGCTGGGAATAGTGTGGACACTGGGTTTGATATATAGCTGTGTGAGAGGGTTTGAGTCAGGAGCCTGGGGTAGAATCTTGCTTCTCCCCAAACATCACCAAAGTATTAATGTACAGAGTGGCCCCTTACCTGGGCCTTTCCTGTGCCAAGCTGATACCCCTTCCCTAAGAAGGTGAGTGCTTGTAATGGAAAATGTCCTGTGGTGACAGGCCCAGTGGAGCAATCACCCTTCTGGGGAAGAGGGAACGAACCACACCTCTGGTCTACCCTTGAGCTTCAGGGTACCCCAGACCCCTTTGAACAACCCTCACCCCAGTGTTTAAACTTTGTGCCTTTGACCATCTTCTAGGTCTGAAGATATTTTATGCAAAGAGTACTCAGGCCCCTGAGTTCAATGACAGGGGTGCCGACACCTACTTGGCTTCTGGGACCCTGCCTTCTCCTTGCTCAGCACGTCCTCCAGTTTGGGTTGGGAGAACAGAGGCAGGAGTGGCAGCTGTCCCCTCTCCCTGGGGATATGCAACCCTTAGAGATTGCCCCAGAGCCCCCCTCCCGGCCAGGGGGGAGATGGACCCCTCCCTTGCTCAGTGCCTCCTGGCCGGGGCCCCTCACCCGAAGGGGTCTGTACATACATTTCATAAGCCCCATTCCCTCCTATGTTGCATGCTTGTTATACTCTACAGCCAAAGTGCAGCCTGCATCTCCTTCTGGGGTAGTAAGGGGGGTGACTGAATTTGGGCCTCCTTTACAGTTAATTCTCCCATGTGGATTTTGTGGGGCAGGAACAGGGGCATTGAGACTCTAAAGCAGTAGACAATCTCCAAACACCATCTGTAGATTTGGAACTGCATCCATTTTTTACTTTATATGCATATATTTTAGGGCTGTAGAATTACTTTCCTAATTTTGTTTTCCATGGTTTATTCTTGAGCACAAAGTAACAATAATCGATTGCATTTATACACCACCTCTTTGACTTTTCCAAGCCCTTTTACAACTATTGGCATTTTCCTCACCCTGGCCTGTGAGGTAACTTGGATCGGTAGCATTATCTTTTTTTTTTATACAAGGGAGACCTGAAAGCAGAAATTGATTTCGAGCTAGAACCAGAAAAACTTAGGCCTCTTTCGGCGAGGCTAGGAGGCAGAGTTTGGCCAAATGCGTGGGGAACCTTCAAACCTGCAGTTACTGGTTACCTTCTATTGGCCAGGCCCTGCACTTGGCGGGGTGCGGCCACGAAGACTAGCCAAGCCGGGAGCACTTTCTCTAGGCCTTGCGGATAGGGGGAGTTGACTTTTCATCCAGACCTCCTTTTTTTGTTGTTGTTTGGATGTTTTCACGGGTCTCACTTATACCAAAGGGAAAAATAATCATTAAAGTCCGTATTTCTTCTACCTCGGCCTCTTAGCCGTTCTCGAAAGCCCATTTTGTGCGCCGTGGACTGTCAGCGGGAGGGGTGGCGGAGGTCGCGGCAGCCCGCGGGAAGCCGGGAGGGCGCGGCAAAGCGGGGCTCGCCAGACCTCCGGCCCAGTAGGAATATGTGCACAGAAGGGACTGGCTCCGGACGCCTGGGAACCCCGACTCCAGCTCCCAGGCTGCCCGGGCACGCGCGCGCACCCCGGCGGCCCAGGATGGTACGGTCCTGCGGCAGGGGCCAGTGGCCGCCGCCCCTCGGTGGTCAGGAATGGACGCTCCTCTAACGGGAAACGACCCTCCCCACCAGGGTCCTGCCGTGTATGCCTCGCCCTCTCCCGGTGCTTTCTGGCGTAGAGTCTGGCCCACTCCTTGCTCCCCCTCCCCGCAGCGCTCAGTGGAGGTGGCCGAGCCGAGTTCCGGTTCCGGTTGCTGCTGCCGCTGGCGGGTGGTGAGTCTGGAGCGAGCGCGCAGTTCGGGCCCCGGCTGGGCGCTTGTCCCTCGCCGCACTTTGGGGTTGCTGCAGCTCAGGGGCCTGTGCTGCCCCTGATTCCCTTTCCGGGCGATGGTGCAGCCCGAGGGCGCCTCCATCCCCCGCCGCCGCTGACCCCGGTCCCCACTCCATGGCCGCCTCGGCGCCGCCCCCACCGGACAAGCTGGAGGGAGGTGGCGTCCCCGCACCGCCCCCTGCGCCGCCCAGCACCGGGAGGAAGCAGGGAAAGGCCGGTGAGAGCGCTGCGAGGGGCGGGGGCTGAAGAAGCCGAGGACTTGGGAACCTCGGGGGTGGGGGTGGGGGTTGGTGGGGAGCGGGTGGTTCATAGCGGGAAGGGAGGTCCTAGTGGAAAGGGTGGGTGGGTGTAGCCTTCCAGGGGTTGGGGGTTTTGGAGCCACATGGAATTCAGGAGTCACTTGGAGCCTGAAGGTTTCAAAAGATGGGATAGTGTTTTAAAACATAGCTGAGAGTATGATCATATTGACAATTCATTTTTCATACTACGTCCGTTGTTATTAATAGTATTTGTTAAATAAATGTATATTGAAGTTAGAGGAGTTCCTCAGAGCATGGATGTGAGAAAGGAGGTTGGAGAAACCTCAGGGAAACTTGTCTGCGTCTGCCTTTTGCTGCTGTTCCAGGTCTGCAAATGAAGAGCCCAGAAAAGAAGCGAAGAAAGTCAAATACTCAGGTGAATGGTGGTCGGTGGTGGGGGTAGTAGTTCCTGGCAGCCCCTTGGTGGAGCACTGTCTCCTCTGCTACTTCAGTATCTGTTTGTATATTGCGTTAGGTGTGGGGAGAAAACTGTGTCTCTGTTTCTGGTCCTTTCCCTCAACCTCATAGCAAATTTAGGGGGAATTACCTCCCCCAAGAGATGATTTAACCAAAGGTCTTATCCATCAGGGTTACAGTTTTCCTCTCCCCGATTTTTCCTGTCCCGGTGCTCTCATGATGCTAACATAGCACCTAACATTCACTGAGCCTTTTCTAAGCGCCAGAGATTGTGCTAAAGTGCTTTTAAAAGTTTTGGGAGATAGGCATTATCCCTGTTTTACAGACAAGACATCTGAGGCTTAAAAAAGTTAAGTACATACTTCAGGGTCTTAATAAGGGGCAGAGCTGGAACTCCAGTCTAGTTCTGTCTGTTTTTCAAAACTACTATGCTGGTTCCAAGTCGCCTATTTCTCTGTTACATTCTAAGTTCCATCTTGATTGTAGATCTGAGCTGCCCAGTTATTAGCCTCCAAAGTGTGCGTGGTGTTTGTGGTGCTCTCTTGGTTCAGCTCTTTGTCCACCTCCATGACCTTCTTTCCCTCATCTCTTCCCCTCTAGGGCCCTGCATACTCACATCTGACGGAGTTTGCGCCACCCCCAACACCCATGGTGGATCACCTGGTTGCATCCAACCCTTTTGAGGATGACTTCGGAGCCCCTAAGGTGGGGGGCACAGCCCCTCCATTCCTTGGCAGTCCTGTGCCCTTTGGAGGCTTTCGTGTACAGGGAGGCATGGCAGGCCAGGTACCCCCAGGCTATGGCGCTGGGGGTGGAGGAGGTCCTCAGCCACTTCGTCGACAGCCCCCGCCATTCCCTCCCAACCCTATGGGCCCTGCTTTCAACATGCCCCCCCAGGGCCCTGGCTACCCACCCCCAGGCAACATGAACTTTCCCAGTCAACCCTTCAATCAGCCTCTGGGTCAAAATTTTAGTCCTCCTGGTGGGCAGATGATGCCAGGACCAGTGGGGGGATTTGGCCCCATGATCTCACCCACCATGGGACAGCCTCCCCGAGGGGATCTGGGCCCCCCTTCCCTTCCCCAACGCTTTGCCCAGCCAGGGGCTCCTTTTGGCCCCTCTCCTCTCCAGAGACCTGGTCAGGGGCTCCCCAGCCTGCCCCCGAACACAAGTCCCTTCCCTGGTCCAGACCCCACCTTTCCTGGCCCTGGTGGTGAGGATGGGGGGAAACCTTTGAACCCACCTGCTCCCACTGCTTTTCCCCAGGAGCCCCACTCAGGCTCCCCAGCTGCTGCTGTTAATGGAAACCAGCCCAGTTTCCCCCCGAACAGCAGTGGTCGGGGTGGGGGCACTCCTGATGCCAACAGCCTGGCAGCCCCTGGCAAGGCAGGTGGGGGCTCAGGGCCCCAGCCTCCTCCAGGCTTGGTGTACCCATGTGGTGCCTGTCGGAGTGAGGTGAACGACGACCAGGATGCCATTCTGTGTGAGGCCTCCTGCCAGAAGTGGTTCCACCGTGAGTGCACAGGCATGACTGAGAGTGCCTATGGGCTGCTGACCACTGAGGCCTCTGCTGTCTGGGCCTGCGATCTCTGCCTGAAGACCAAGGAGATCCAGTCTGTCTACATTCGAGAGGGCATGGGGCAGCTAGTGGCTGCTAACGACGGTTGACATTGGCAAGGTGGCCCAGGGAAGTGCACACATCCCTCCTTGCTCTTCTAGGGTGATTGTTTCCATGTCTGGCTCTTGGTCCTTGTTTCTACTGGCTTCCCATCCCCATGGGGCAGAAACACAATGGCTCCTGGGGGCAGAAAAGGAATTGAGGTGAGCAGGCAGAAGAGCCTGGATTGCTCACCTTTTGGGAAACTTATGTGTTGAGATCTTCAGAGATCCAGGAAACCAAAGCCCTGCTGAGCAGAGCCATTTTTTGTGGCTGTTTCTGGAGGCCTAGGAGTATGGCTGCAAGAGAAAAGGGGCTGGAGGAAGATCCTGAGGGCAGGGGTGTCCCCTCTGTAGATGATGGATGCCCCTAACACCTGTGCCTAACACCCCTACATAGCCCCACAGCTCCAGCCTTAGTTTTTGGAGTCAAGTGTTAAAGGTTTCTGGCCAGAGGAGTTGAGGTCTCTTCCCATCCCTGCAATAGCCCTTTTTATGGGCTCTGGGAGATGGCTTTAGGGAATAAATGGGGATTTTTCCCTCTTTCTACTCTCTCCTTTGCCTCCTTCAAGACCTACCTAACTCCTCCCCCCTCGGAGAACCAAATAGTTTGAAGAAGCAGGAGAGTTCCTGGCTATTAATGGCAGTTTCTTGGTGATTTGGGGCTTTGAGACAGTGGGTAAGAGATGCTGTCAAGGACATACCTTCCTCATACCAAAGTCACTGGTCCTTTCTCAGCCTCTCTTGGGCTTTTCTCCTAATGACCATATTTTTGCCAAAAATTGGGATATGTGGTCTGATAGACCAGAATATTTGAAGTTTAGGCTGTTCTGGAAGTCTGGACTTTGCTGGTACACCTCCCCCCACCCCTCATCCATCTGTTGCACATTATACTCAGTGCTGTATTTCAACTTTCAGTGCCCTTGTTCCTCTGCCTTCCTGGCTTGATTGAAGGAAAGCTTGAAAAGGCACAGAGCCCTTATACCTCATTTCCTCTCCTGATAAAAGGATCCAAATGAGGCCCTGTCACAGTCTTGTGGGCAGGGGAATGCGGAGGCATCCTCATTGCCATGGTACTAAAACATAGAAGAGCCTGGGGTTTTTTTGCTTCTCTTTCCTTGCTATTATTTTATATCACCTTGGGCCTAGTGATCTAGCAGTTCTCATTCCTCTCAGCCAAAGTCCTGCACTGGGCTTAATTTGTATTTTTTAAATTTTTAAAGCACTGCCTGCCAGAAATGGGCCTGAGGCCTGATAAGGAGCCCCTGGCAGCTGCTGGCTCTTGGCAGCTCATGTGCACATTCCTCAGTGGGGTGGGGAAGGCAGGCATGAGCTGTGACCCTCTTCATAGAAGTCGGTGGTCCCTCAGCATGAGGAATTGTGGCAAAGACCTACCCTCTGTGCTCCCCTACTCCTTCTCTCAGTTCCCTGTCTTGCGGAGAGAAGATACTGCCCTGGTAGAGCCAGCAGCCTTTAAGGCTATAAGAAAATCTGGGCATCTCTCTTCCAGTGTTTCCCCACACTAAAACAACATGGATGTCAACCCCCTACTGCTCAACTTTGTGTTGTGTTTGTGGTTCCGTTTGCCCCTTTTATCTGTTGCTATTTTTGTGTTGTCTGCCTCCTACACATTTTGTAAAATGGCTCCTGGGGGAGTGTCTCTGCTCAGTTAACTCCCTATTGCTCCACAACTTTTTGGAAGAAAGTGGTGGAAGAGATGGTTTTTTTGTACGGTTGGATTAATAAAATGACTTAAAAATCTAGACAAGGACTCCTGATGCTGTTGTGGGAAAAGGTTGGAATGAGCCACAGTCACTGCTGGGAGGGATGCCTGGCACGAGGATATATGAACTCCCCAGGGTCCCTGGAAGTGGGAATGGCAGAAAGATTCCGCCTCTGAGCTGACTGACCCTGGTTTAGGCTGCTGAGCCAAGGGAGGCCTGTGTTCCCCCATCCCTCCTCCCCTGTGTCCCTGCTGTGAGAAACGGAGTTTCCATTCTGAGCACATTCCTGGGTCCGGCTTGAAGCCAGGCAGGAGATTTGGCTCCAAGGTCCCTGGGAGACAAGTGCTTGAACTCTTCTGAGTTCAGCACCCACCCCTGCCCCCATCTCCCAGTTGTTTGGGTTAGGGGCCAAGTGTAGCTCCAAGGGGGAGGGGGAGGCTGCAATGTTCTAGCAAATTTCATTTTTGGATGTTTTTCAGACTCCCCCCTTTTTCCTTCTTCCTTAAAGTAGCAAAGGGCATCATTAAACAGTTTGCGCTGGAGCAGGGTGAGGGGAGTGGGGAGAGCTGTTTGGAAATCCTCAATTTGCCAATCCAACCTCTCCCCTCCCCCATTCTACAGCTGTCTCTGTCTGTCCTGGGGCCGCGTTCTTGTCATCTCGGAAGGCACCCTTTGCCCCTCTCTCAGTTTTGGGTCTTCCCTCTAGAAACTTTAGATACTGGTAAAGGAGGGTAGGCCACTCAAAATTCAGTTTGCTGGGACCCTCCAGTCTCCCACCGGGAGGTAAGCCCAGGTTTGGGGGCTGTTTACTCCTCCCTTCCTCTCCCTTGGCTCTCAATTCCAGCTCTCATTGGCCAAAAGTTTCCGCCCCCTTGGGGAAATTGACTTTCCATTGGTCAGCTCTGGTCACATGACTCTTTCTTGGGCTGGAAACCAGGGGAGGCAGCAACAAGTGAAGCTGAAGACCGGAGCAAGAGCTGGGTCAG